TTATCCTGGAGGGTGGTCACAGACGCTCTGAAAACCAGAAAGTAGTGACATGGTCATGGAGATAGACCAGAGACGTTGCTGTAACCCTGGAAACAAAGCCATTTCAGCACGAAGGGCAGATTCTAAACAACACTCCGGATTGCCGTTGGCAACACGGGGCGCTCACAGTTCACAGGCCAATTGTGGGAGATGTGGCGGGAGGGTACCTATGGCAAGATCAGTGCTTCTGGTCTGGAATTAAAGAAATAAGTGTGGGAGAATGCCTTATGCAAATCGTTTCTCTTCTGGAGCTTAGGAAGGTATTTCATTGGCAGTTAGAAAGGCGCTGTGCAACTACTGTCAGCTAAAAGACTAAACAGAAACAGCCCCCTAAGGAAAATGATTTTACTTGTCTCCAGAGTTCTGAGGATGTTCCTGAACATCAGCATGAAAGGGTACCCGAATGGCATACGCATCGGGCGTGCTGTGCAGTTTTTTGTTTTGTTTTATTTTTTATCTACTTTTTTTCTTTTCTTTTCTTTTTTTTTTTTTACTATATAGTCCATTCCTCTGTCTGAAGCTCTACTAAGACTCAAATTTTCAATCTTGGCTTCTTTGGAAAGACCTTGAAACGTATGTAGTCTCACCTGCTGCTCCGTTGCAGGAATCTTTTCTAAAACATACTTGATAGTCAAGCTGTTTACAGCAGCTTCCAAAACTCCACATTCCCTGTTGGATTGGCGTTTGGGGATCATTTTGCTTATTGTTAGCAAAAATCTGCCTTCATCTGATTCCCAAACCCTGGGTCCTCCCTAAGAAGGATCCCTCTTCTGGGCTCTATCACTTAACCAGCTGTGTGATCTTCAGCAAGTTACTGCACTCCTCTGTGCTTCAGCTGTATCTGCTGAAAAGATAAAGGCATCTGCCTCCTGGGGTGGAGGTAAGAATGAAGCAATAGCACTGTGCTGGCTCATGATGAGCACCCCCAGTGATCGGCTAGCCTCACAATCAGCCCTTGTACACAGCACCCCTTCTGGTACCTGTGGAAGGTGCTTCCTCATCCTTTACTCCTCTAGGCCTGCAAGGACCAGAGACATTCTCAGACTGCCTTCAGCCAGTGACCATCCACCTTTCTGTGGAATTTCAGAATATGGATCACACTCTGGAAGGGTTTAAATTGGCAATCGCAGATATCCCGGGATGCATCCGGTCCCTCCTGCATCACCGCTATTTGGGTGTGTCTTTCACAACAGACTTGTGAATCTAGAATTGCCCTGAAAACTAAAGTCTGTTAAAAAAAAAAAAAGGTCCCTTTTCTTTGGCACCAGCTTGTCATAGGGCTTCACCCCTGAACCCCGACCTGCAGCAGGCTGGACTCTGGTTCTGTCCCAGATGATACAATGCTCAGTTTAGCATCTAGCTTTCTAGAACCGCATTACAAAGATACTCCCCACCTCACCCCCCCCCACAAAAAAAAGGAAGGAAGGAGGAGATGGGGGGAGAGAAGAAAGAAAAAGAAAAAGGAAGGCAGGAAGGAAGGAGAAAGTTTTCCACACTATTGCCAAACTTTGGTGGCCCACTTGGGGAGGGTTGGAGGCATCAGAGTAAACAGCCACCTGTCGACTGAGAAGTGCCGTGGAGGAGCAGGGTTTGGGGGGCTGCCCTGGGAAACAGAGCAGCCCAGAATCTGAACCTCAAAGCCGGGCCACATGGAAACGAGAGCTCAGTCCAGGAGCTGGAAGGTTGCTTAGGAGACAAGGCAGCTCTAACAACTGGGTTATAACAGTAAATAAAATTGCCATCTGTTGAGCTCTTAATATGGGCCAGGCACTACGCCAAGCATTTTACAAGTGTTAGCTATCTTCTTTTTAAACCTGTTTAAATTGTGGAATAAAATACTCTTGGATTAAAGTGTTCAAAACAAATGTACAGTATAATGAACAATCACAAAGCAAACACTTGTGTAACTACCTCCTGGGTCAAGAAATGGAATACCCCCAAGCACCGTGAGTCCCCCTGCTCTGAGGACTCCCTGCAGGCCTGGCACTCTTCTCCTCTACAAGGATTGCCACCCTGGCTTGCATAATAATTGCTTTCTTTCCTTTCTTTACAGTTTTCTCAAAAAACATGTATTATAAACTGGGCTCAGGGGCTCATGCCTGTAATTCCAGTGACTTATGAGGCTGAGGTAGGAGGACTGCAAGTTTGAGGCCAGTCTCAACAATTTAGCAAGACCCTGTCTCAAAATTTAAAAAAAATAAATAAAAAGAGCTGGGGATGTAGCTCAGTGGTAAAGTACCTCTGAGTTCAGTCCCCAATATTAAAAAAGAAAAAGACTGTAAAAAAATAAACTATGTTACAATTTAGTTTGCTTATTTTTTAATTCTTACGAACCATTTCTTGTGTTCAACATTGTATTTATATAATTTATTCATGTCATTTCCCTATAGCATGGTTTGTTCCTTCTCAGTGCTGTATAGTACTCCACTGTGTGAACACATCACAATCTATATTTCATATTTGGTGGATAGTTGCATTGTTTCTAGCCTGAGGCAATAATGAACAACAAAGTTATGGATAAACTTGTGTATATACCCCAGTACACATGAGAAGTTCCTCTTAGATTTGCATACCCCAAGACAAAATTGTTGAGTTGTAGAATGTGTACATTTTCAGTTTTAATAGATAATGCCAAAGTGTTTCCCCAGATGGTTATAATAATCTACATTCCCACCAGGAGCATATAGATTTCCTGTTGCTTCGCATCCTTACGATCAATTGGTTTTATCAGATTTTTCAAATTTTGCAAGTCTAATGAGTGTGTGTGGCATTTAATTGCAATTTTAATGCTTGGTTTTTGAACTCGAAGAACATTGAATTATATTTCATACATTGATCTTTATTTTTCTTCTCTATTCTGGTGTCTACGAAAAGAACAGAAGTTCAGTGACTTGTTCGAAGTCACCCAACTAGAGCTGGGGATTCAAACTCAGATCTGCTCAGCTTGAAAGCCTGGCTCTTGACCACTCAGCCATCCTCAGGGACCGAGGTCCATCCACCCCTTTCTAGTGCTCTGTGGCCCTTCAGCCCCCACCCAGCTCTGCCCTAGCTCTCTCTTCCCGGCCCTTCTTCCTCACGACTTGGGCTGACCCACGACTTCCCTTTCCTGCTTTCCCCTGATGCAGCCTTTCTTATGACTCCAAGTTCAAAATGCCATCATCACTCACCTGGTTCTCCTTCAAACTCCACGAGGGAGGGCTCATCTCCACTTGGCCCTGTCCCCTCCGCAGGCAGGCTTCTGTTCCAGACCACAGGGCCGTGGTCTAAAATACTCTCCCAGCCCAATTGGCAGCTTGCCGTAGACAGGGCTGTGGATTCAGGTCTGGAGAGCCCAGGACTCCCGTGCCCGCCTCTCCTCTGGAGCTTCCCCTTCCAGGCAAACCCTCGCCTGCTCCTGGGACATCTCCTCATCCCCGCGATGACTCCTATTCCATCTGTCTTCCAACTCACCACCCTCTTCCTCTCCCCCTCAAGCTTCCTCCTGTCAATTCTGTGGCCTAAATAACTCAAATGCAGTCACTTCTCTCCAGGACTGGCCTCCACCCTCGCCCAGGGGCTAACACTGCCTCTCACCGGGACCCACCCCAGCTACCTCTTGCTCTCTGTATCCGCTCCCCCCACTTCGTCAGCCCACTTTCTGCACAGGGCCAGAGGGGGCTGTTGGAAAGGCCCACCTGATGGTGCCAGATTGTACGAGATCTCTCCCTGGCTCCTCTTCTCTCTTGGAATAAAAACCAAAACCCTTAAGATGAACCACAAGGCCCTGGGGTTGGGCCCTGCCTCCCTCCTCACCCTCTCTCATCCCACCTCCCGCGCCCTCCAGAGCGCAGCGGCTCCGGCCTCTTTGACTAGGTCACCCGTTCAACCCCTTGCACATTCCCACTTCGCTGTTATCTCAGTTGTAGGTCAAAAACGGTTCATCCAAACAAGAGATCCCCTCTCGCCTATCGGACAGGTGAAGATTAAAATCACTGATGACATCCAGCGTCATTGGGGCTTCGAGAAAACACGCCATCTCCTTGGCACTCCCGTCCAAGTACACCCCCAACGGTCAGAAATCTGAGAGTATTATTATTGAAATTATTCATACCCTCTGACGCTGCATTTCCACCTCTATAAACTTCTTTCTTCATATTCATGTAGGAGGATATTCAAGCTATATCAAGCTAAAAAAAACCATAAGAGTATTTATTATTCCTCTATTTTTATGCTTTTAAAGTAAATTATATGTAAACTTTAAAAGTTGGAGAAACAAGCGGAAAACCTGTTTGTTGGCAGTGACTGTCTCTGGGGGGGAGTACAAGTTGATGGGGCATTTTTCTTTTCTGTTATGTATTTCTGTAATATTTGATTTTGCTATTTTAATACTATAGAACAATTGTGTAATCTGAAAAAATCTAATATAGTGAGAAGAGGTGATAATTGCACAATTAAGCCTCTCATGTCTATCTAGAGGAAGCTCTAAGAGGTCAGCAAATGTTTCTGTCCTAATTGCTGCTGTTTTCCCAAAGCCTTGTCAGTGCCAGACACATAATAGGTGCTCACTAAACATTTATTAACTGGGTGAATAAACAGATGAACTGTTCGACCTGCAGAATGTGGACCCATCAGTACTCCAGAAGTGGACCCCTGGCCACTTCCTCCCCATCTTGAATTGAACCTCATTCTCTAAAACAGGTATAGAAGTGCCTCCCCCCCGCCCCAGTCTCATGGACCTTACTGCTAATGTTGAGCTTCCAGAGTTTTGCACAGATAGGGACATTTGTGCAAATAGTGAGTTTGCTTTACTCACAGTTCCTTGTCTGGAATAGTCACTCAATAAACATCTCCTGAGTAAATGAATAAGTAGTTAGAGTTGGTCAGAAACCTATGACTCTACTGACCCAGGCTTCTAGGTTCAGGATTCTCCATTTTATCTGCAAGGCCCCAGGGCTACCATAACAAATCACCACAGATTTAGAGACCTTAAGTGACACAGATTTATTCTTTGACGGTTCTAGAGATCAGAAATCAAACATTGGTTTCACTGCGCCACAATCAAGGCCACACTCCCTCCAGAGACTCTAGGGGAGAAATTGCTTCTTGCCTCTTGAGCTTCTTGGCTTGGGCGGGCTGCATCACTCTCGTCTTCAGGGCCAGCATCTTCAAAGCCTCCCGTGCTCCATCTTTACATTGCCTGCTATTATGGCTTGGATCTGAGGTGTCCCCCAGAGCTCCAGTGTGAGACAGTGCAAGAAAGTTCAGAGGAGAAATGATTGGGTTACAAGAGCCTTAACCCAATCAGTGAATGAATCACGGGATAGGAATAAAAGGAGGTAACTGGAGGCAGGTGGGGGCATGTCCAGAGGAGGTGGGGCATTGGGGGCGTGGCTTTGGGTATATATTTGTATCTGGCAAGTGGAGATCTCTCTCTCTCTGCTGCCTAATCATCCTGTGAGCTGCTTCTCTCTGCCACACTCTTCCACCATGGTGTTCTGCCTCACCTTGAGCCCTGAGGAATGGAACTTGCTCTCTATGGATTGAGACCTCTGAAACTATGAGCCCCCAAATAAACTTTTTCTCCTCCACAATTGTTCTGGTCTTTTAGTAACAGAAATGAAAAAACTAACTAAAACACTTCCCTCCTGTGAGTGTCATTATAAAACCTCCCTTGGCCTCTTTCTTAAGTAAGGATACAAGTGATGGCATTTAGGGCCCAGCTGGATAATCCAGGATAATATCTCCAGCTCAAGATCTTTAACTTAATCACCTCTGCAAAGACTTAACTGTATAATGTAACACTCATAGGATTCAGGGATCAGGACCCAGGATCTTTAGGGGGCCCCAGTCTCCTACAGATATCATTAGTGAAACACCTTTGTAAAATCCAGACATGTCATATATTCAGAATTTCTCTTCTCCATCCCTCTTGTAGGACCTGCCATGGAGAAGAATTGGTAAATGCTCTACCACTTTCAAACCCAGACCTCAGAAAAAGAAAATGACGGGCCTAGAAATCCTTTACCACCACTCGCTTCCCTGGTTCACACATCCTTGAGAATCCAGAGGAGCTTAGGGAAGGGGAAGCTCCTCATTAGTGGTCTCCATCGAACATGCTGCCAACACCCACTGGGAGGAATGGACAATTCCTGAATGGGGGACAAGACAACGATTACTTACCATCGAGCTTTGCCTATGGAAAGGTTTGGGCTTTGAATATATGTGGTTTCTCCCTCCCAGCAGTCTGAGGAGGGACTGTATTTTGACTAAATTCATTCTTTGACTTTTTGTCAGTATACATGGTGTAGGAAGACGGGGAGAGGGAGAGCAAATGGCACTGAATAGGCAGGAGAAAAATTAGTTTATCTTCCCCCAATTGAGGGGACCCTGATGCAATCCATTTAAAAGCATAGCCTCTGGAGAGGGCCACTAAAACCCTAATAGGGTCATTTCATAATAACTATTTTCAAACCCCTGGTCTTGACCACAGAGTTGCACCATAAACCTGGTTTCTTGCTGAGAGGAGCAGGCTATTTTATAGTTCTTACATTTAAAAAATTTTTCTTTTTTTTTTTTAGTTGTAAACGGACACAAGACCTTTATTTTATTTTTATGTGGTGCCGGGAATCAAACCTAGTGCCTCATGCATGCTAGGCAACTGCTCTACCACTGAGCCACAACGCCGGCCCCATAGTTCTTACATTTACTCATCTTTCCTAATTTCTTATTTATTTATTTATTAGTTGTAGTTGGGCACAATATCTTTATTTATTTACTTATTTTTATGTGGTGCTGAGGATTGAACCCAGGGCCTCACACATGCTAGGTGAGCGCTCTACTGCTGAGCCACAGCCCCTGCCCTTTCCTAATTTCTCGTCAAGACAACACTGATGTGGGACTTTGGTTCCCATCCCCAGATCCCCACCCATGAATCCTCTTGAGAAGGCATCAGCAGCAGGATTTGGCTTCCATTGCACCTGGGCTGAATCCTGGAGTCCCTGGGGCTGGGCAGAAGCTCCAGAAGCTGAGAGCAACCTGCCTCTGCGTCATGGTGGTGTTCACCAGTCCTACTACGCTCAGCTCTGCCTGGGGCTCAGTGCTCACCCTGCAAGAAGAGAGAAAGGCATGATGTGCGGGTGGAGGTGGGGTTATAGTGACAACCAAGTGGACTGTCATGAGGTCTGAAAGTGGGGGGGAAGATTCTCTTCTCTCCCTCACCCCACAGTGTAAACACTGGCAGAGCCAGGCAGGCACAGCAGAGGACCAAAGAGAAGCGGGAGGCTCAGGTCTAACTTTAAAGACAAGAGGGGAGTCTTTGAGGCTCCCATGTGGTTCAAGCCAACATAACCAGTGTCAGAGCCCAGTTACAAGCTCACCCACCTGGTCCTAGCCAGAACTGGATGCCTGGCAGGCCCTCCTCCATGGTCTAGGGAATCTGCCATGAAGCCTGGAGATTCCATTCCATGAAAGCTGTTGCTCTGGGGGAGCTACAACAAAACTGGTGGTTTTTGACTATGTATTAGATTCTTGGGTTGGTGCCAGAAAAATTTTTTTGAGAACACATCAGTATAATTATAAAGCACATCAATGGGACAACATGATTCACCCTGCAAAAAATCTAAACAAACTAGTCCCTTCCAAGTCCCATTATAGCCTTCCATGAATGGAGGCACACATTTTGTGGTTGAGGGAAAGAATGCACATCACCAGCTCTTACTTGCAGTGACTTATCTGTGAATTTGTAAAGTGACTAAAACCCCTCGAGAGGTTTACTGAACTATAGAAATAGAAACAAAAATTATACCTCATCTGTGAGCTCAGACGGCAAATTTGAAACAAGGAGCTTAAGGGGTTTGAGAGCATCAGATGAGACTGAAAATTTCACAGGACTTCATTGAAAATTTGGTCATATAAAAGAAGTACGTAACTCTATAACGGAGAAGACTGATAGATATAATTACATACAAAATAAGGACTTCTGAGTCTACACATACACATGCACACACAAAAGTCTATATAAAAAGTTAAAAGACAAATAGCAAATTAGAAAAAAAAATTCAACATAACAAAGAGGGTTATTTTATTATTAGGTAGGGGAAAGATGAACAGTCTAATGGAAAAGTGGGCAATTTAAAAATAAAAATATACAAATCATTAATAATCAAAGATACAACTTAAAATAACCAGGAGATAAAATTCTCTCAGATTGAAAGATGAAAAAGAGTGACAGGCTCAGCACAGACGAGGCTGTGAGGGAGTGGGACTCTCACACTCTCCAGCAAAGTTTGGCAATTCCAAAATTTTACATGCATATCCTATCCCCTTTGACTTGGCAATTTCACTTACAGAAAAGCATCTTTAAAACATAACATGGAGGACTGGGGCTGTGGCTCAGTGAGGCACTGGGTATGATCCTCAGCACCACATAAAAATAAATGAACAAAATGAAGGTATTGTGTCCATCTACAACTAAAAATATATACATATATATATATATTTTTTTTAGTTGTAGATGGACACAATACCTTTATTTTGTTTATTTATATGCATACATATCTATATATACTATCCACACATTATTTATCTATTTATCAATCAATCTAAATTGCATATAAATAATTTCTGGGTTATAATATCTTACTTATGCCTTTCTCCATTGCTAATTTTTTACAATGACTATTTTATCTGTAAGGAAAAAAATATATCACCATTTCAAAAAGACAGAATGCATATGTAGGCAAATAAATACCCATAAGCTGGGAGTATCCCTATTGGCCACTGAGAATTCACAGAATAATCAAGAAGTCCAAAGTACATCACTTAGAACTATTAACTATTAGAATTTATAATCCAAACCTGGACACTTTAGGGTCCAAAGGGGAAGCTATCAATAGTTTTGCTGGTGTGACCAGCATAATCCGGGACTCCCCAGACAAACTCAGCCACTTGGGCAGCCTAATTAAAAGGAAAGGTTTTTTTTTGTTTTTTTTTTTTACCCTGTCTCTGAAAATGACCCAGTGTTGGAGTGTTAGAGGGTAAAACCCAAACATAGAGACTACCCTTTTATCAGCAGAACGGGGTGCAGTTTCTAAACATGCCAACACGATGGTTAAAGAATCTTTAAAAGTTCATTTTTCTCACCTAATTAGCTCATTCATATCAACGGAGGTCTAATTTTAGAGATCTGTTCTTGATAAAAATTATTTCTCTGAGAAATAATACCACTTGGCTGAGAACACACCGTCGTTTTACCCATATTATCTGACACTGTAGATTTAATCTTGGAAACACTGTGTGACTCTCTTAAATGCCTCTCCATTCCAGACCCCCTGAGACTTACCTGTGGCGAGGGCTTTGTTTTAGGGAAGTGTCATCTCTGTGACCTGGGCTCTTCCTGAAGATGGCTGTACCCCCATCAGTCACCACTGGGTCACTCTGCCCACCGGCTATTTATATCCTCCCAGCCTATCCAAGTCCAGCTCAGGTTTCTCTCCTCTCCCAGGGCTTTGCTGTCCACCACGGCAACCTGTCCTGCTCAGCTCTTGTGGCATTCATTATCTGCAGTCAGATCAGCGCCAGCTCATAGGCCATCCTGTTCTCTAATTTTTGATTGCATATCCGTCTCCCTCACACCAAGCAGTAAGCTCCTGGTGAGAAACGGCTCTCAGGCTGTCCCACGTGGCACTTGGTACACCACCAGTTCAGGTAAATCTGTCAACCTCTCCTCTTCCAATTATAAAGTGGGGGTTGTAATTCCTTAATATACTCCATCTCAACCCAACCAGGGTAGTGACTAGGCTTTATATGAGACAATTTTATTAGTCCAACTCCCTGAATGCCGGGATATTTGCATAAATAGAAAAATAAAGACTTTCCCAAGAGAAGCAACTGCTGAGGCCTTTCTCCTCTAAAACACTATGAGATGACTCACACTCGAGACTCAGAACAAACTTAGAACAGGACAATCCCATTGGAGGGGTAGTGTGGGCATAGGTACGTAGGATAAAAGCTTGGGCAGGCTATTTTAACATTCACTATACTATCACTCCCATCTTACAATGTTTTACTGTTTTTTTTTATCTTCCCTGTATCAAAAGACCAATGTGAATTTATCAGTCCGTCGATTCTCCAACATTTGCCCCCACTCTCCTAAGACTCGAGCACCTGCCGTTACTTGGTATTGATCGTAACCTAAGCAACACACATTGCTCCATCATCAATCGTGGGTCAATCTATAATTGAAACGATACTCTTTGCACCTCCCCACTGCCAAATTTATTAAACTGGTACACACATCAATGTCTCTTTCTCTAAGCCAAGCTCAGACGGAGACTTAAGGGTGACTTAAGCCCCAACTACAGTGTGAACAATCAAAATTAGATTCCCAAGCCATTTAACTCATTCAGAACCCAAGGTAGTGTATTTCTCATGCACGAAAGATTCCTTGGGAAATCTGTCAACTCAAGTGCATTTCTTGTAACCTGCATCACTCCACAACACCAACACAGAATCCTGCAGGGGAGGGGGACTCCTAGTCAAGCAAAAAGTAAGACTCGCAGTTGAACTGAAGAGTCAACAGCCACCATTCCTTCTGCTACTTCGGGTAGCATCGTACTGAGGATTAGGGAAAGACACACCTTCTTCAAGAAGCTTTGCTTCCATCTGATAGAAAACAGTCTTAATGTTCCCTATTTTCTTAGAATAAACCACTTCATAGCCATCTGCTAAGTAAGCCATCATAATAAATCTATGACATCTGTAACGTGAATAGCGATCCTTTAGAAGCAGCAGGAGTGTGCAGTATACAACCTACGAGTCAATGCGAGCCAGGTGTCTATAACTTGAGAATATAAGAAACCAGTGGGAGGGAGCGATTCTGTATTTTACTTCCCCCCTGAGCCTCGATTTCATCATCTGTAAATTGGGTGTAATAAGAGCTATCTGGCATGGGTATCTTAGCACTGATCAGCCTTCCCATTGGAATAGTAAAGCCATGGTCTGTAAATGATTCCAACAATAAGAAGGAGACATTACTTGATTACCACGTAACTAGAGCCGTAAGACGGACAGCTTACAGTCTCTTCGCTTTTTACAAGTATAATTCACCCTATCATCAAATTTGGGTTTTGAAATACTGAACGTGAAAAGACCTTGGAAGCTTTTCTAGTAGCCATGATGGGTCTCACGGCCCCCACCACACATTCTTATTAGATTTCTCTGTGATCAGAGAGGCCCACTGTGGCAAAGTTGTTAATGAAGGCTAGGCATTGGTCATCTGAAAAATAAAACGAGAAAAAGAAAACCTGAAGTTAACTAGCCTACATCAGGGTTTCTCAATCTCAGCCCCATCACGCTGGACCAGATGAACTTGGGGGACGCAGTGCTGCGTGTCACGCTGTAGCGCATTCAGCAGTACCCTGGCTTCCACCCATAGATGTCTCACCCCCGCCCCAGGAGAACCAAAAATGTCTCCAGACATAGCTAAATACCCTCTGGGAAGAGTGGGTGATGAAATCGTCCTGGGTTGAGAAACCCTAGTCTACATGAGAACTTAAGTCCTGGCGTGGTTCTTGTGAATTAGCAAGCTGACCTCCAACCAAAGGAGACCTGGCCTTTAAGTTCTGCTATGACTCTTCTGTGACCTTAAGGATACTAGGCTTCTCTTTCCTGTCCTATAACTGAAATTCAAATGCTGGCCCCTCCTTTCCAGGACCTCCTCTTTGAGAAGGAGCTGGAGCTAGGGAGGAGGGAAAGGTACCCGGGCATCGCAGCCCAGGCATCCTCCTGAGCTCTCTGGGGCAGGGCCACCTTCTGAGGTCCCAGCACTGTCACCTTTCCCTGAATAATGGTGCTGCTACCACACAGGGCTGGCCTGAAGTAAAGCTGCATCACTTGGGCCTTCTACGGGGGCTCCCCTGTATGGATGAGTCCTTGGCTTTCCCTAGCCAGCTATCTAAGGCTAGGTCATTTCATTAAAGACCTGGGTGAAACCAAAGAAACGACAACCAGAAACCTTACAACTGGACAATCGCACTGAGGTCATCCCAGACAAGTCCCCCTACGGGGCGCTGCCAGGTCCAGCCCTCAGCCAGAGTCCACCTGCTC